GGATTGTAGCAGTGTTCATGTGAGGGTCCTCCACTTTGTGTACCTACAAGTAACAGTGTTCCTCAGTACTAACACAGTTTTTCCTTCACAACTTACTTTCCACTGGTCCTCAGGGAGGTTGGGATCATCAGTGTAGAGCACATCGTACCCAGCCATGGGCGCATTGAGAATTCGTGGCAGTTCCCATTGCAAATTCACTTTATCGCCGTCAACTTGATAGCGAATACGTTCAGGTGCGGTAGGACCTATAAATTCCACTATCTTTCATCTTCAACAGACCTCTACCGTAAACCTTACCAGTTACAGTAATATTGATACGCTTTGTGCTCTTTCCGGCCTCATTCTCGGCAACACAGGAGAATACTGTATTCTCAATGACGCCACCAATGTGCATTTTCATGTAGAGAGTCTTCTCGCCGTTGTTCAGTGGACGGCCCCTGTGAAAATGCTTTTATTATCCAATGCTATTCGTTTGAAAGATGGAAATCCTACTTATGCTGCCAAGTAACCACTGGTACCGGATCGGCTCTGCTAATGTTGCATCCGAGTTCAAATGGTTTCAGAGGTGCTACAAAGAGCTCCTCACCTTGCTCGATCGTCACCAAAGGTCTGGCAGCTGAAAGGAATTTTAGTTGTATATTCAGGTCTTTTGCCTCATATGGAGAAGCTCTCTGATTTACTCTATTGATTTGGGGCTTCTAATTTACCTGGTCTCAGTGTGGTCACTGAAGCTGGGTTGCCCAGTCTACCGGGTCCCATTTGGTCATTGGCTCGAAGCCGGATGTAGTATGGTGTGTTGGGACGTAGATTTTCGATGGTAGCTTGGTGATTGGGTTCTGAAACAGTCGAATGCAATTTGCTGTCAGCCGGGTTTGTTAACTATACCTTTAACTTCCAGCTTTTGCCAGTTCTTGATAGGCTGGTTGCCGTTATTCGTATAGTAAACGGTGTAGCTGGTAATCGGTCGATTGATAACATGCGGTGGGTCCCAGCGAATCTGGATTGTTGTTCTGCCAGATAGTGCACCGCGAAGCACAGGGGCAGATCCGGGACCTTGAGTTCCAATTTTTTACTGTCTGGATCCCGTTGTCCGGTGAAAATCCCGATTGCTTACCGGTGATGATAACTTTCACAGTCCTTTCCACTTTCCCCATGGAGTTGTTGGCATGGCATGTGAATTCTGCATTTTTGAATAATTCCTTGATAATAAGTATCTGCTCGTTCTTTACTGTTCCAATCTTGGAAGGAATGTTGTGTACACGCTCATCTCCCCTGCAAAAATTCATTGCCTAGAAAGAGTGGGTATTAAATTATTTGCTTTACCTTTGCCAGTAGATATCTGGGAAGGGGTAAGCGACGGCTGAGCAGGTGATGTTAATGTTGCCTCCAGGAGGCACTTCATACGGCCCCTGTGGCTCTACATACAGTTTTGGAGGTCCACGTAACACTAAAAGGCACATTAATGGTAGCTGGCCTCATTCTGATATTTGGCATCTACTTACGTAGACATTTAGCTCCCTTCGGACATGTACAAGAATACTGGTTGTCATCAATTGATGCGCAGGAGCAACCCGCCAGAGATCGACATAATGTCTTAGGAATAGGCTCTAGAATAAGTCGAATTTTTTTCAATTTTCCCCTGGCTCGCTGATGATACTTACTGATGCAAGTTTTGCCATCGGTATCAAGAGTCATGCCTCTTGGACAACGGCATTCCACAGTTGCATCGTTGATAGATAAACACGAGTGACTGCACCCGCCGTTGTCTTTCTCGCACAAACCTGAACTCTCATTGGTTCGCGTTACGGTAATACCGTACGCCAAGTCTCACCTTTTCCGCGACAGACTGGCAGGGTGTTCACCCAAGTTTTCTGGTGACAAAATAGGGTGTCGATTTCGTCGATCATTTCATAACCGAAATCGCAATGGTATTTTACGAAAAGGAATGACCTGAAACAAAACAATTAGGTACTTGTTAGTGTGTGTTGCTGCAATCGATGAAATTACAAACATAGCGAGTTTATCGCTGCAAACAGGGTCGCTAGCGCACAGAATTTCAGATATTGGTGCGAACGTATTCATCACAACTGTACGAAAATTTACTGGATGTTTTGTATCATGTTTTTTTTCCTTTGGACTCATCACTATACATTCATTGAAGTTTTTTCAGCAACAGAGTTATTGCAAAAACCTTTTTCCTTTCGAATGCTACAGCTCAGTATTGATGATTTCAATGTGGGCAAAACATTGTTTTCATAGCTCCTTCAGTAAAGTTTTGTAGTAATTTGTTTGTTTGTTAATTTTTGTTTTGCATCTTAGAACCATTGCAGCACATATGACCTTCTTGGCGTATTCCCAGAAACTTATTCAAGTATCAGGTTGCATGACAACATACTTTGGGGTAAAAGTCATGTTCTTTGGCATTAGTCTCCCCTGCTGACGATAATACTGTATGATGAGACGTCGTAGGTTGTCCGGCGGCACGAAGGCCATCGCTCGAACTCTGTAAGAAATATTTTACTGAGCGGACGACGGTGGCATATAGCGCTTACGTTGCATGGGGAATCACCGGTGGGGCTACCAAACCCGACGTAGTCCTTCCTGTCACATCTGTGCAGGTTGTGTCGAGATCTTCATAACTCGGGTAGCATATTTCACGGCCAGATGCCTAGATGGACGATGGACTTGTATGCGTGGAATTTGAGTCAGCACTGGAGAAAGCTCACCCTTGATACGACGCACTTTCCAGCATCCGGTGGGGGAATAGGCGGCGCCGACACTGAAATGCAAAAGTTACGATACGAAATCCGAAGTTAGTGTTGGTAAGCAGCGAGCAAACATATTAGCATATTAGCATGCACCATTATTGGTGTGATAAGGATACCAACCGATCCGCGTGGACGAGCAGCAAGTTAGTGTGTGTCGCTTAAGCAACATGCTGTTAGTAGTGAAGCATTGCGTTAAGCGGTGCTGCCTCCAAACAGGCAGCTCCGAACTCCGAACTGAACAAGCACTACACCTCACAACGTCTACAACCACGAGCACGGCAAATTGCACACTAGCCGTTGCTCCACGGCCTACGAGCCGGCTCCGTCGGATGTCGTGCCCTCTTGTCTACGATAGCTCACAATTAGTCGACCGCAACACCATGAAAGTCACGACACTCGTCTCTACTCCGACTACGACTAAGCTTGCCTTCTTCTTCCATTCCGCAGAAGTGCGAGGCTTGATCTGCAGACACGACGCAGCGACCGGTTCCATTCGCACTGAGCACGACTGCGCCCCGACTTCCGTATCGGGCACTATCATCATCTGAATCGCTTGCCACTTCGTCTCTCGCCTTCTGCTTCCTTTTTGTCTTGCACCTCGTACCGGGGCCTCCTGCAGACATGCCCCCACCACTACTACTATTCTACGCTAACTACATCAGAAGCTCTGTCCGATGTCCGTCTCGAGCGAGCAAAGAGTGAGAAGGAGGAGAGAGTGATCCGCAATGATAGACTGAAAGGAGAGAAGCTGGTGGTGTAGGAGCGTCAATGAGGTCGAACGGAGCTCTGTCCTCTGCCTTTTCTCGTCAGCCGAGCAGTACATGCCTTTCAGATACCTCTCTCTCGAAATTTCGCTCAAAAGCATGCTGTTTGGCGGCAAAAGAACAGATGCGTCTCTCTGCGCCTCTCGCGCGATTGAGGGCGGTGGCGGCGTGAGTGCGAAGCGGAAGACTGCGTGAGGCAGCAGGTGAGCGGTGAGCGCCGTCAATCGCCGAGAGGAGGGTCAGAGAGACTTTCGCATGCGGTGCAATAAGTTCCTATTCTACCTAGGATCGGGCAGTATCTGGCTCTTTTCGCCCTGCGGCGCCGCAGAGGTTCCGGGTAAAGCACGTCTTGATAGTACGTCGAAGCACGCGTTGCATCGAAACCCGGCAATACCACTACGACCGGTCGTACATCTTAAACGCAAAACATCTTTTCTGGTTTTCAAACGACTCCCCCTCACACACTACCTCACGGAAATCAGCATGGTGGCACTTTTTGTGCTGCCATCTTATGCTCTGTTGCTCGCCGCTTCAGCAGTTCAAAAAAGCAGAGCGAGCGGGTAATTCGATACGAGTCGCAACTTTTCTGGGCAAAGCCCCGTACAATTGCAAAAGCCTGCACTATGGTATGTGAGCCAAAACTATACGGCATTTTTGCTCTGCTGAAAAATTAGGACAAACTAGGAAGTGACAGTATGATAAGCCATTCGTAGACTATCAGACCTCGGGTATACTTTACGCGATCTGAGTTGCGTTGCGTTTGGCAATTTGCCAGATGTCTCCAAATGCATCACTCGCAGACTACAATTCTGTAGCGTGTATAACCTTCGCAGGCTGTCAAAAAGCTCTATCTTCTGTACAGTCACATGCGCTTAG